TCTGTTTGGTTGTTGCACACAACCAATTAACACTCATAAATATATACGGATTTTTAACACACACTCACTCGTTTCACTGTGTGTTTGCTTCCTGTATGCTTGTGGATTTTGCTAATGTTTAACAATAAACTATCTCTATAACTGGTGTTCAGGCTTTTGAACAATCTCCAGTAAATTCATAATTCTACTATGAGATTTAGCCTGCATTATATACTGTTATCGGAATACTGTTTATTGGAGTCAGATATAGAGGAAATTAACCTCAACAAAGTTGGTGAGCCGCATTTAGAACGCTCACCATTTCTCTACACTCTAACGCAGCTGTCGTGTGCGCTAATTGTCGATTGTTCATATTATAATCAACCGTTTCTGGATCACCCATAAGAACACCTTAAAAGCCAGCCAAGTACTTTATAGTTTATCTGTTATTTATACTTAAAATCTCGTGATTATATACATGAAGTCTAACTCAAATTATAAATCTCGATAAGACATAATACAACAATAACTAACAAGTTGGTGATTAATTAACCACAGGTTGTGAACGGCATAAGATATTGTAGAAAATAACAGTTCAAATGAGAGCTTACAGTTAGGTTAATATAAAGTACTATGAATTTAAGGTTTAGCGAATATATGTAGATGATATATAAAGTGATCCCTAGCAAAATAACTCCCAGAGTTACACACTTCTTTCTCCCATTCTTAACAGTCAAAACCTTAATGATAAAAAAATCCTATCAACCAATTTATTATGTGGCCACTGGTCCGAGTGAATCGGCATCTCATGTCAGTCAGTCAGTCAGCTACAACGTAGGACCAGGCACATATATGCATCGGTCCAAGTTGCCATACCTCATTAACACAACAAGATGGACACCAGATTCATAAAAGTAGTTAATTCAGTGGTGATAATATATAAAAGAAAGATTGCAATACGGATATAGTACAGGAAGAAAGAATTAATTCGTAGAAAGAAAGATATGAAGCGATTTTAATCTCTTAGTTTAAGGGAAGACAGGGAGTGTATACACCGACGCCATTGTGATCGATCCTGAGCCATGTCACCAAGAGTCTCCAACCATTGGTTACGATAGTCACGCGGACCCCAACCAATTAGACTGCATCTACCAACATGGCTCAGACTAGAAGTTAGTGACTTCAAGCACTGATGCCACGTTTCGGTTTGGCCGCCCCTAACTTTCTTCCAACCATCCCGAACACCGGTTAGCATTGCACGTCGTGGTAATCGGTGTTCGGGCATACGTAACACATGGCCCAACCATCTCAGTCGATGAAGATTCACTACCTCATCAACTGATTTACCATCATTACCTAATACCCTGGCGTCTAACCTCACTATTACTTACCCAGTGATCCCAGCAGACGCCAGCAATATTTCTGAGGCATCTGTGGTCAAATACTAGTAGCTTACGAGTGTCTTCTACTCTTAATGGCCATGTTTCGCTGCCGTGAATTAAAACAGAACGGACTGCCGCGCAGTATACTCGTCCCTTAATTGATAGACGGATATCTCACCTTCGCCGTAGGTGACGTAAGTTGTCAAAAGCCAAGCGAGCTTTTCGAATCCGTGCTGAGATTTCGTCAGACACCAACGCATTAGGGCTGATCAGACTTCCAAGATAAGTGAAGTTGTCAACGCGTTCGACCACTTCACTCCCTATCCTTAGTTCAGGTGTTGACGCAGACCAGTCCTGAAGCAACAACTTGCATTTAGGGGGAGAGAGGCATCTCATGTACGATGTTTTTATGTGAAGCGGTCGAAGGCATGGGGCAAGAAGTCTTCAACTAAGATTTCTTCTTGGAAGCCGTCAACAGGGTGTATCTGTAAACTCTGTGGGGGGCTCGAGCCCACCTTCTGGAACACTGACAAACGGTGTATCAATAGCGTAGTGGCATCTTTAAGTGTTATTGTGGTATGTGCTACTGATGTCGACAGATATAAGCAGTATGTATCACTAATCGAAGGTGAGATGGCTGGTTAAGATCGAATAGAATGAGAATTGAGAGGAACGATCAAGTCTATGACAGTTGATTAACATTTTGCAAAGTATTTACTGTATGGTTCTCAGATTTTACTAAGATACTTTATGTTGTGTTCAGACACGTTCGGTTGTCCTCACTAGTGTTCTCGTCCACTACATTAAGATATTTCATTCTAATAAATCAAGAAGTACCTAACTCAGAAACAACAAAAACTTCAGTTCTGATAATTGTCGTCTTCTTATTACATTGTCCAAAATTACCAGAAGAACTAATTGCTTTAAAAAACTGGAGTTCGGTCCTGAATCTGCGAATCAACAAGTGGAGGACTGGGTTAAACATTAGTGACTGTACGGCACATTAAGTAAGCACCGCTTTACTCTAAAAAATGTACTGCGTTTGACGTGAAATTCTTCAACAAATAACGATGAATATTCAACAGTATCACCTATCTTCTAAAAAGTTCACAGGATTATCAGCTATATATGACATTGTCATGCAAAGAGAACCAATCAGCGTTGAAATTTCACACTTTATAACTATTGGTAGGTACTAGTTTTCCAGTGTAGCCACACGGAATTCTGCGTTATCAGAAATATTTACTTAATTACATAATTATCTTTCAATTCAAGTCTTTAAACAACGTTAAGAGTGTAAGGTAGTTGGCGAGATTGTTAACTTCACATTACGGAATGCCTGTATTTACACAACAGCTGTTTCACCCTAGTATAGAACTCCCTGACAGTAGGTATCCACTGCCCCACCGAGGATCTAACCCCAACCTTTAGGTCTCGACACTAGGTAGCATCTCTACTTTACTTTCCTAGGTCCACCAGTTTCTCCAGTTATTAGCGAACAAATCGACTACTTAGCTTCGTATTCCTGTGGAGACAACTAAATCAGTCATCAATACATCAATCACTCACTGTAAGAAAAAAAGCGCAACTGACTGACCATGAGGAATTACTTAATGATCAACCTAATCCATAGTATGAACCAGACTTATGTGGTTGATGATAAAAAACACGACAGGTAATTGAGCATTACATTTATTGAGTGATTTGATTCATTAAGAACAGTTTTAGACAACAGCAATTGTTTCTTATGACTATAAAGGTATCGATTGGATTATGCCAGATTTTACATAAGTCCTGTCTTATAGTTATCAATCGGTTCAAATCTTGAATACGCACATTAAAATGAAGTCCGTAGTCACAAACTACACCCTTCATTGAAGGCGAATCATCCCTACATGTAATAAATATTCTGACATAAAAACAATTGCCCTTCTACGCCCAAAACCAACACTTGCTATCGTTTGATTGTGAGTTGACTATTAATCGAGGTTCGAATTGCGATCCTAAAAATCATATTGAAATGAATTTGGATTTTACCAACAAAGTAACGAAAACTATTAGGATGCAAGATGCCTAGGAAACAGTTAACACACTGTGAAATATCAAACTCGGAACTGGTTCCGGCGGATGCCGTTTTTATAAACAAACCCGATTTTCAAAATGCTTGACTTGATAACCAGGAATGTGGACGGTTCAATGTACCTTTTACAACTGCCTGACACCCAAGGGCACTTGCAGACAATCCATGTTCAATACCGAGGATTATTTTGTGAAATCAACATCGGTTACGACAGCTACTTATCTTACCCAGTCCACGCAGACTTTGATGTACTACATCAACTGGGTTGACGCTAAAACGAGAGGAACTTGTTTGGTCAAAATGCGTCTCCCTGAAGTCATTCAAGTCACTGAATTCACAGGACATCAAAATGCAACACCCGAAAACCCCGTTTATTTCTCCATAGACACCCTTGTATGACTACACGAGATATCAGAGCCCACCTTTTCCCAATCAGATTGTCACTGGGTACAACTTCTATTATCACTCATTTCGCAAAATGCAGCCATACAACACGATCGCACTAAGTATCTACTATCCTTCAAGTCCTAATTTCTGCATATAATACTTTTCATACACATTGATGACAGATGAGTAAGAGTAGGGATTCTAGAAACTTACATGAAAGACCGTAGACGGCCGACCACTATCTTATGCCTTGTCTTGATAACCTGACCAGCCAGGGATAAGAATTAGACACAGACTAGCACTCGATTTTCGACACGGCCAACCCTACCGCCTACTTCGATTTAGGGAACCGTGTTGTTCCTCACCCTTAAGCAACGGTTCATAAGATGCATACTAAGCAAATGAATGAGTTATCAAGAGCTGTATCACTCGACTAGCTTATACACAGAAAAGCTGATAAAACTTGAAGGTCGACAAAACCTGTTCCCGATATCATTCGGAACGAAAATGAAAATCCTTCCTGCCTGGAAATTTGACAACGCAGTCGCAAGAATCACGACTTCCAAGATGATTGGGAGTGGGCATATAAGCCAACAGCTATTAACTACCTGTGAAATGACAATTATGGAGACACAAGGAAGAATCACGCCCAATTCGTCTTACGCAAAGTACATGACAAACCAAACCGACATGAAATAACACTAACCAGCGACTAAGCTCCGAACTGAAAGTCACCGTTAAAGCTACATAAGATCCCAGTAACCACTCACGCAACACCAAATCATCATAGATCATTCGAAAATTATACTGAAACCTATCAAGGTATATATTATTTCCTAACCCTCATAAACATTTGAGTTGCAGTACGCTCTGAAGTGGCATGTTTATATCATCCTACCTACATATTTCCAACAAGATATAACTATCGCCTGGACAATGGAGCAGAATAGTTTTAAGAAAGTAACTATTAGAGATTAAAACATAAAATGTATTGTCCTTGAGTGCATTGAGAAGCACTATGTGATACCATAAAACCTAACAAGCAACACTTACAAGAACTAAAAACCAACAAAATACTCTGAGGACAAACACTAAACACCGTTGGTAAATGAACTCACAAGCCAATGAAGAAATCAATTTATTAATTAATAGACATTGTACAAGGTAAGGTGTTATAGTTTATCCAAGAAGTTATCTAAGGGAGGAACGCCTGCTTTTAGAGCCTTACGTTTTCGCGCCTCCACAACTACCTGTCCAGGCTTTGAGTTCTCGTCGAGAGGATCACCAGGATAAATTTGCCAGTGGTCGAAGACACACTGAGGAAAAGCTTGCCCGCCAGTTGCAGCACGAAGATCAGTCGTGAAGCCTAAAACAATATCAGGTTACTAAGAATGAGTTACCGAAAGATTCATTAACCGGCATATAAGCTTTGGTAATACACATTGGACTGTCAGTTTTTCGTTCTTCTGAAAGTGTAATGGCCCTCTTGCGATTCAAAGTACTGTAGATGCCTCCCATAGCAGTGGCTGGTCCTTGGATTTCTACCAGATAAACTGGTTCTAGTAAGCATGGTTTGGCAGTAAGAACAGAGGCATAGAAGCATCGACGTGCTGTACCGATGATTTGATTACCTCCACGGTGGATAGCATCTGCGTGCAGTACTACATCTATGAGATTGAAACGGACTCCACGCATGTGTTCTTGACAAAGAACACCTTCTTTAGTTGCCCACTGGAACGCAGCGACAACGCTATCTTTTATTTCATTTAAATATTGAACTGCCTTAGTGGTATCGACCACAACATTAGGTCCTGTGTTCTCTGGACCAAAGCACCATAACTTTCTAGCTTCTGTAGCATCCCATCCGTAGTTGTCTATCAGATAACGAGAACGATCTTTTACGTCTTGATTAGCAGTGATTTTTCCATCATCAATGTCCTGTGCTAATTCTTCTGATAAAGGTAAGGCACGCATATACAGACGATTATGTTTGTTAGGGGATTTCGACAGACATGTTTGATTTGACTCCTCCGTTACTGTCTCACGATATGAAACTACGGGATTACTTATTTTTAAAGGAATGCAAGCATGATCTTCCTTGAGATCCTTGAGGCAAATTTCAAGATGCAGCTCACCAGCACCTGCAACGATGTGTTCACCCGACTCCTCTTGCGTTATCTAAAAGCATATGTGATAAATATTACAATAACCTACTTGGACCATAGGATCACTTTTAGAAAGACGGTTCAAGCCTTCAAGAAGTTTTGGCAAATCGGCAGGATTTTGACATTCAACTGCAACGCGGACTACAGGACTGACACTAAATTTCATTTGCTTCAAGTTATGAGCCCCCGCAAATGTTGTAATGGTGCCAGTTTTGACAATAAACTGATCCACTCCTACCAACCCACAGATGTTTCCACAAGGAACATTCTCGATTGCTTCTGTGTAACGACCCATCATAAGTACAGTTCGTTGAATAGACTTTTCGTAAAGATCCTCTTTTTTCCCTGGAACGTAGTTGGGACCAGTTATTCTTACTTTTTGTCCTGTCCCGATTGTACCAGAGAACACACGACCAAATGCATAAAACCTACCTTTATCTGAAGTCGGCACCATTTTACTAATGTACATCATGACTGGACCGTTCTGATCGCAGTTTTTCATTGCAATAGCTGCTTCATCTTCCATAGGTCCTTCGTAAAGCATTTCTACTCTGTACTGCTGTGAAGTGACAGGACTAGGAAGATGAATGCATATCATTTGCAGGAGCGAGTCGCCAGCAGGAAGCCACTTATGTAATGCTGTTTTCAGTCGTTGTTTGTCAGGAAGAGACATTTCAGTTTCATTTAGCGTTACACCCATCTTCGTTAGCAATTCGATTTGTTCTTCCTTACTTTTCTTCATGATAGTATCGAAAACCTTGTAGATCGGTGACAGTATAAACTGGTTAAAGCCACGAACGCCGTCAGAAGCTGGTTTTTCTTTGGTCCACTTTTTTGTTTTAACGTTGTAGAAGTTATCACCCCAAAAACGTTTAACCAATACACTTGGTTCAATTCCGAATTTGCTTGAGTAAAGTCTAGCAAATGTCATCAATGTGAACGCCCAACTTTGCAAACCGGAACCGAAACCTACAGTCCCTTTCACAACATCCAACGCCAGATCACCCATTGTGCTATTAGACGTTTCAAACTCTGAAATTATGACGTTAACGTTTTCGATCACTCTCTGGAACTTTTGATAAAGTTCTTCCATGTCACAGTTCAGAGTTGTGACTGCCATATCCATCTTATTCATGAATAATACTGGTTTGATTCGTTCTGTGAGAGCCTGACGTAAAACCGTTTCGGTTTGTACACACACACCTAACAAAATACCATAATTTAAAAGCAAATTACCTGATACACAATCAACTACGACAAGAGCTCCATCTGTTACACGAAGGGCTGCAGTGACTTCTGAGGAGAAATCGACGTGCCCCGGTGAATCTATGAGGTTTATGAGAAACCCTTTTTCTTCTTTTCCTTCTGAGTTAACAGCGATGGGTTGAATCGCTTTAACGCACTGGACATCTTCATCAGGCATTTCATAATATAAGCTGATGGCTGTTGATTTGATAGTGATGCACCTTTCCTGTTCGTCTTTCCGAGTGTCTGTAAACCGAGCATCTCCAGCGCGTGAGTCAGCAATAATGCCGGCCTTGCAGACGAGTGAGTCTGTAAGTGTGGACTTCCCATGATCTACGTGTGCTATAACGGACATATTGCGGATATTCCGCTTAAAATCCATCATCCGACGCAACTCATCTACCGTGAATTTTACCTAGGGGGAGAAAATTTCAAAAATCATCCTGTTTGCTTTAAAGTACTTGCGAGCAACTTGACAGAATATAAATGTAAACAATCTATGAAGCACATGGACAAGCGTTATGGATAAGTCGACAATTCGTTGATGACTTAACATGCAATTCCCAATACATGTAGTCTTCGGACTCAACAACCACAATCTAGCACGCTGAGGCAACAGCTACAAGTAATTATGGTTAAAATAGGATTGTACTTTGTAGCCCAAGTATTGCAGCGCATGTGGAACTTGGACCCCTTATCAAATGACCTTATGGCTTTTAACTAAGACAACTACCAAATGGCATTTGTGAACTGTTTTAAAGGTGGGGAGACATGTTTAAATCGTGAGGTTAGTTGTTCAAATAATTGTGGACAGGATATAAGTTTTTGCTTGACGCACTTTCGTATCTAGAAGCAGGGGACCACCGAAGCCCTCAGGTAGACGTAAGCATATTTAGCGAGCCAGTGAGAAGTCGGCAAGTTATAGTGCGAACTACCCTGAGGTGTGAATAGTATGTCAAGTTTTCTCTTGAAGGACTTCTGGTTAGCCACTTGGGACGCTAGTTGGCGAAGAATTGCAGGATTTGATTACTCGTCGAAAGTAGTTGGAGATCCAGAAACCGTCATAAGATGAGTCAGTCTCACCGCGTTATTTTATTACAACCAAGCAGACCATTTAAGACTTAATTATAAACCCCTTAGTGAATTACAATTTACAAGTGGTCTCATTAAAACTCTGCCCATTGTATACGAATATCTCCAGTTGCTCGGTAAATTAAATACTCGCCAGGTGGATAACCTACAACACAATTTGTACTGTTTGAGTCATCAACAGAGTTCCTAGCTAGTCCCCAGAAAATAATGTCCAGTCCCTTTGAGAAAAATAGCGTACCTCTATTGCTTTCGCGGATTTTGTCTCAAGCTATAGTTTTAATGGGCGAGAACGTACCTAGGCTAATGAGCAAAAAGCCACCTAAGGTACATGGTGACTTCTGCTCTCATATTAATTAGGGTGTGCACATTGAATGATACCATTGCCGACAACCTGTAAACACCGCAGGCAACACGCAACGGCAACCAACATTCAAAACAATTACGAGTCTCACTACCCGGCTATTGAGGCATGTTATGGAAACAACACGAACGCTCGCCATACGCCAACTTCATCGTCCACGTGGGGACGAAGCAATACAACACTACACCTACCATCTCGCTGACGTCCGCTATCAGCAACACCACCCGAATTCTGTACAGTGCCACCGGATAGACTATTAGTAAAACACTATCTAATGTCCAATGTGCCTCATATCTTTACGATGAGTAATTCCAAACCAGTTTATTGCTTTGCGCCCGCATTTAAACTTTATGCAATTTTTTGTCTTTTAGGTAACTTTAAATGTTGTGATCCCAGAATCTTGATTAAAATATTTGTAGAGGGACAAATACGTAGCTATCAATTGGTTTACTTCGTGACTGAATGATTGAGTTGTACCAAGACATAAGGATCTCGGAGTGCGTTACTTTATTCCCGTGTTTAATCATTTTATTGGTCATAAAGTTCAAAATGCCTGAGGAAAAATCTCGAAGGACTGCTTTCTGTGAAATTGTGGCTGAACTACGTGGTACATAAGACTGGATCTCGTATAATAATTCAGTCGACGATGAATTCCTTCATGTCCGATTTATTAGCATTTTTCAGCATAACATGATACCAGTACTTCTACTTTACATGGATCAGAATCAATAAAAAATACTGACCATTCTCAGATGTCATTGGTCGAACGGAAGTGCTGTGCAGGTTTCACCCTAGTTGTTTGGGTAGTGTGTTCTGCTGTTTTAGATTTCTATCACTAAGCACCTTGAAACGCGCTGTGACGAAAAGATAGCCCCTAATTGTTCTGTGGAGAACGTGAACTGCCCGTGGCATTGGTCTAGTTTAATTGGTTAAGGATATGTGTTCACACGCTCCTTCCAATATGTCTAGTACTGCTACGCACCCACGTGGTTCATCTGGCCTTTGAACAAATTTCGATAACTCGGACGTCCTGTGTTGTATATCTGGAGCGAACTGTGAAATGTGGTTTGATCGTTGAAACTCTTGTAGGGGAAATTGTGTGAAGACGAGATTAAAAGGTAGGTGAGAAGTTCACCGTCGGCAAAATGATTGAATTTTCGGCCTCCCACATGGTGTTGAATGTGCCATACAACATAATACAAAGTTGGGAGTTCCCTGCCGAAAGCGCTATACCTCGATTCAGTGTTCTGTGTCCATCCCAAAGATTCCCAGAAGTTGTTTACTCTTTGCAGTAGGACTCCTCCGATTGACGGGCCAGATGCGTCTACAGTGATGCTAATGGGTGCTTTGATGTCCTGGTTCAGATGCTGGAGATGAGACTCTCTTTCCAGACTTGCGATAAAGCACTCATCTGCATATGTGTGTACGAAGTTGAGACCTTGAATCAAGTCACCGGTGAATCTTTGGAAATTTTGTATAGCATTTCTTAAACCGAAGGGCATAAACAGAATTCACAGTGTTCGAGTGGGGTAATGATACCGGTTTCACGGATGTCGTCAGCAGCTATGTAAATCGTGCAATGTGCTCTCACCAGATCGACTTTCGAAAAAATCGGTTGTGCCCTTTAAAGTAGCTGTCAAATCGTAGATGCGTGGCAAGGGGTAATGATCGGAAGCGGTTCACGTATTCAGTCGCCAATAATCACCAGTTTGGTGTCAACCGTTGCTGCATTTTTAGGGACCATGTACCAGGAAGATGCCGATGGTTCGATGGTCGAATAGGTCCCAACTCTATCATATACTTGAACTCGTTTTGGCCAAAAGGGGCTTTTCGAAGGCTAGTCAGCGCGCTTTCAAAAATACAGGTGGTCCCTATGCTAGTTGTTCTGTTGCCGATTACACGCAATTCTGGTCACGTTTTGTGCGATTTGAGGTACTTGTCGAAAACCCGTTAAAAATAAGGATCGAATATATGCTTAATTAAGACTGGGCATAATCAACAACCAGAAGACGGAGTTACACGAACAGATAATTTGGTATTTTCGCGTACTAACCTCCATTCGCTTGGACTGATGAGTAGATTATGTTGTAGTAGGTCTATACCAATTACTGGCCTAAAAATATTTGCAACGACCAATGTCCAGTGAATGGGTTTGCTTAAATCCACATTAAAATAAGCATATCTCTTACCGTATGCAGTGATCGGTTCTCCATTGCGGCCTGGATGTTGAAGACCGGTTCATGTAGATGGTCGTTAGAACTCGCGGTGAGAACGCTTACTTTGCACCAGTGTCAACATGATAGCGAATTTTTGTCATCAGATCAGTGGTGTACAATATTCGACTATGTTTTCCGGCCAAGGTTGCTGTTAACGCATGCAGGTGGGGGAGCTTCCAGAAGAGTTTTTCGTGTCAGACATTTTGGAGATTGGAGAACTTCAGGGTTTTCTCTGATTTCGATAAGACCTGCCATGTTTGTTTTGATACCAGCACCAATCAGGATTATCTGTCTCCCACGACTTTGAGACTGACCACTTTCGCGACGAAATTCTGAGAGTAATTCTAGAGTATCTATGATTATGATGAATATTAAGATAACGAGCGAGAATATGACAGATATCTGTAACACCATTAGTTTCGTTTGAGGTTCTTGTTTTTTAGAGTAAACCTTGGTGCTGAGTTTCTGATGATCTCCAAAATCTGATCGGTAGATGCGTCAAGTTCGTCCACGGAGTTATTCTGAAATGAGACAAGAACTGCTCGCACTTGTTTGGGAAGCTCAGATAAGAATTGCTGGTTAGATAGCCCTCGTCGAAAGTCAGTTGACCAATGGTCCCTCACATTCGCAACAACACTTCTGTTGCTGAGCCGTGTTGCAGCTCGATGTTGCGGAACTGCTTGCCTAACCTTTGCCGGTCGGTCGAGTCTCCACGTTTAAGAATAGCATCCCTCTAAGTGTCGTAAGATCCAGATACATAAGTAGTAAGCATGCTAGGTGCGACGTGCCGGTTAAAATCACGTGGTAGGGCCCTTGTAGTGGCATTGAGACCCAACTACGCAGTCCTCAAAGCTGAACACGGGACAGTTGGGGAGATAGGTATTCAACACTGAAAGCGAAGAAAAACCCAACGATGGAGAAGGCGGGGACAACGAATAGAGTGAATTCGAATTGATCGGATAGCATGGCTCGGCCTTGCAGGCATGGCTCTCCGTGAATGTTGTTGTAGACCTTTTAGTCATATTTGATATATTATTCTATCTCTAACCTAAGTGTGTTCTCCATCACATATTGATGATTGTCACGACGCGATGAGTTGGTGTAGATAATAACGTGACTTCCACATAAAATCTTATGGATTAGGCAGTTACATCATGAAAATTGTACAATTTTGGGATAAGTCTATTATTAGAGCAGTACTAATATCATAGTAGACCATAGTTCAACATTGGTGAGCCCGACGTGCCTGTGGAAGTCAGATTCTGCGTAACAGAACCAGGCTTCTATGTTGTCTTGCCAGAATGGCATCAGTTGAAGAATGGGAGGTGTAAGTTTTAACTTCAAAAATTTGGGTCTCTGTCCCCTCGTGATGAAGATGAGATATACAAATGGGAGAGAAAAATATCCGAAAATATAAAAGAAATATCACAACGCATAAAAATGAAATTAAAAAAATGATGTGTAATATTCCAACAAGAAACAGCCTTACAGTTTATTGTTTAGTGTGCCAGATCACGTTAGGCCCATCAATAAAGATGCGTTTGGTCTCAATTGGCCAACAGTTACAAGCGCTTCCTAATGAAAGATCTTGTTCTCATTTGGGAACTCTCAGTGGAAACGTGTTATCTGCCTTACAAATAGAGGACATATGTCTCGTGAGTCAGTATAACTACCTTTGTTTTCATATATCTAATAGTGTACTCACCTAAGAATTCAAAGAATTAGTCTTTTCCATCAAAAAGTCCCTGTGTAAATGAACCAACTTCAGACTTTTAATTTAAACTAATAGGACACAAATTTTCCGTAGACAAACATTTACACTAGTTACCCTGCCAGTGTCTATTCTACAGGGTTTCGGTCCAATTCGGGTCGAGAACATGTGACAAGTCTGCCTAAAATATGTTTCTTGTATTTAATATAATACCAGATTCAACCTAACATGACAACCAATAAGTGAAGGGTATTTCTTATTGCAATGGGAAGCATGGTTGCAACTGCACTATCCAAACGTTCAAGTTTTTGTTTCAGTGACCTTGAGCTCTGATGAAAGGGTCAGAGTGACGCTTTCATCCACACCGCAAAAGAGCAGGGGTTATTTCAAAGAAATATAGATGTTTGTACTGTCCATTACGGAAAGAACTCACTATATCCAACCTATTACAATCTTTTATCGTGAATTTCATTAATTTTGGTGATATTCGGATATTTTATTAAAAAGTGGAACCTGGTCTGTTCGTTGTTTTAGCCCGAATCCTTAGAGTTCAATCTTATTTTAGCTTGATATTTTTTATTTTTGCTGTACAAACTTAAAAAATAAGGGCTTTTTATGAAGGTCACCATAATAATCCCGACCGTTGTTGCTACCTTGACGTAGTGGTCGGGCTTGCCTATCGTGATGAAGCAGCCGAGCTATACTGGCTGGAACAACCGTTCCTCAAGGTCCTACCATGTCAGACAGGTCGGTTGAAGAGCGGTAAGACTAAAAGCAACAAACCCAAGGTCCGAAGGCGAAGTCGTACTGCTGACTGTACAGAGGTGTGACAGCAGTAAGGTGTTTCCTTCAGACAACCAGCATGACAGCGATGCTGCCTTCCCACAAGGAGGGGTGGGGTTAGAAAAGGTCGACCCTAAAAATGCACACCTCACCTTACCTCACGGATTTCCGTCTCCGGCGGTAAGGCCCTTTGAAGAACGGAGCTAACACGTCAAAAACCTCCACGAAAAGGCCGTGCGCGACCGGCCTCAAGCAGTTGTCCCTTGGGCACTGCGGTCACGCTCTCAGGTCACTGAGACCGCCTCTAATCCAATTTCCTTTTCAGGTACCTCCAGAAGAACCCTTCCACGGTGTGGGCAACCGGGAAGTGATAACCGCCCTCATACCTCTAACAGCACCCAAGACCACTGTATTCATAATCAACCTTCCTCTTCAATTCCTATTATTCCTCCTACATCGACTTTCAACCCTAAACTTCCTCCTT